GTGACCAATATGATATTATCTGGATAAGCAGTATGTAATTTCACAAAATTTAAAAATATTCTTTCGAGTTTATAAGAAATTAGTAATTTTTTAAAATTTTTAAAAATGTTTTCTAATTATTATGAAAATTTTTAAAACAAAATTTTATTTTTAAAATTGTATTAAAAAAAAATTCTGGTTTAAATTTTTTCTAAAATATTTTTAAAATATAAACAAACAGGCCTAAATAAATGAAAAAATTGGTACGCATGCATCAGTAAAAGAAACAAAAAGAAGTCTACCGAAAAAAATGAAGAAGAAAGAAAAAAAAAGGAAATTAATTACTCAGGAAATTTCGATTTTAATAAATAATTGCATTAATTGATGGACGACTGTAAGTTATGATTAAGTTGGGAATCTGATTTCATTTCAAGAATACAAGACACAGTTATTTATAATTTTTAAACGAAAATCAATAAATAATAATTAAGAGAACTTTTTTTTTACAATCACATAAATTTAGAATATTTTACTACTATATTTTGGGAACAAAAAATAAGGAAATGTCATTTTTTAATAAACCAACCCCTTTGATTAAAGGAAATCAAGCATGTACAACTTGAACTGACCTTCTTTGACTAACAAAATATTATTTTAAGTGGTTATATTTATTCGTTGGTTGAGATCGAAGAGACATGTTTTGTCGGTCCCATCATAGAGGGTTCGGCGGGCCGCTTCCCAGATTTCATGGGTGGTGTCCAAAGGATGAATCGCTGCATTGGTGGAGGAGTCATGGCGTCGATGAGCCAGCTCTTCACTCTCTTATTGTCAGTCACCCAGGCATCGAGAGCGGATCACCAGGTGGAGGCTTTGTTGTCGTCCCATCACGACAATCTGATTTCTTGCCCCTATTCTCATATTCATTAACTGAGACCAGAGGGGAAAGTTCGAATCATCAAGGACGACAATGATTGGGAAGGAAGAGGTTTCTTGTTGGATTACAATATTGGAGGATGAGGAAACATTAGACGTTGTGGTGGTGTGAGGAGTGGATGAATCGTTGTTTTCATTTCTGGCATCCATAGAAGAGGGGAAGGAAGAAATTAGGGATTTGGAGTTTCAAAGGGAAGGAATTCGGTTCGGGTTGGGAAAAATAAAGTGGGGAGGAGGATGATATTCGGGTCGAGTAGGTGTGGGAATACGGTAAAAAAAATTTCTAGGATCAGAACACATTTGATACCATGTTAAAATTCAATACTGGGAATAAAGTAAATACTTTCCGTTAATTTACTTCCTCTTCAATGAGGTTTATATATACAAATGGGTATAACAATATATCATAACATTAGGAAACAAACTAACAAATTCATCCTAAAAATATTAACAATCAGATTACATTCTAGAAACTAATACAACAAGATTTTAAATTTAAAACTTGCTTTCAACAGTCACATTTCACAAAAAAGTACCTGAATGCACGGTTTGGAATTTTTTTTCAAAATGCCACATCACCTAACTGGCTATAACACCTGGTGAGTTAGTTGTGGACACATGGCAGCAGGTTCATGGCCTCGTAAGTGGCTGCACAGTGCAACGAGATTATGTGGCAGACAACGTGTCAAACTCGCTATGCTGCATGTAACATCTCGGGTGCTGACGAGGGTGGAGAATGATTGTCGGTGCGAAAGGGTATACTGCAAAAGGACACAGACAAGGAGTAGCTCCTGGAAGGCTTCCAGCGGGGGTACATGAGTGAATCGAATTGACACGTGAAAGAGAGGAATTTCAAAGACTGTGCAGGTATGGGACTGCACAGTTGGAGTAGCTTGTAAGAATTAATTTGTACTACCTATACTAATAAGATGCATCTACTTTTCGGTAGCCATAACGGAAGAATTTCATAGTTAAACGTGTTTGACTTGCAATAATTCTGGATAGGTGACCTCATGAGAAGTTTTTCCAGGCAGTGTGTGAGTGAGGATAAAACATGCTGAAAAGTCTCATATTAGTGTGTGGAGATAGTCATTGATTCTTGAAGCGACCGGGTGTTACACTGCATAGCATGATACATGTCATTGATTTTTGGTCTAATAAATTTACCACTCCTAAAAATAATTAATTAACAGTTTTAAAATAATTTAAATTAGTAAAAGTAAATTAAACTAAATTAATTAACAGACATAAATTTAATTTAATTCATTAACACTCCTAAATTAAATTAAATTACTTAACAGTTCGAAACAATTTTAACTTAACATAAATTAAATTAAATTAAATTAAATTGATTAACTGTAACGCCTGGCCGCTTCAAGAATCAATGACTATCCCCACATACTAACACGAGACTTTTCAGTGTGCTTTTTCCTCACTCTCACACTTCTCGGTAAAACTTCCCAGGAGGTCAACCATCCCAAAATTGCTCCAAGTCAAGCACGCTTAACTTTGGAGTTCTTCCGTTCCGGGCTACCGAAAAGCAGATGCATCTTGTTAGTATAGGTAGTACTAATTAATTCTTATAAGTCATTCATAACTGTACCGTCCCATACCAGCATAGTCTTTGGAATCCCTCTCTTTCGGGTGTTGATTCGATTCATTCATGTACGCCCGTCGCCGGAAGCCTGCCAGGAGCCGCTCCTTGTCCATGCCCTTTCACACCGGCGATCACTCCTCGCCCTCGTCAGCGCTCGGGATGTTACATGCCCACCAGCTTCCGTCTGGTTCGTCCTCGAACCACACCATACTGGAAGAGAGGCCCTGCTCTGATACCACTTATAACGCCTGGCCACTTCAAGAATCAATGACTATCCCCACATACTAACACTAGACTTTTCAGTGTGCTTTTTCCTCACTCGCACACTTACCAGGAAAACTTCCCAGGAGGTCACCCATCCCAGAAATTGCTCCAAGTCAAGCACGCTTAACTATAGAGTTCTTCCGTTCCGGGCTATCGAAAAGCAGACGCATCTTGTTAGTATAGGCAGTACCAATTAATTCTTATAAGTCATTCTCAACTGTACCGTCCCATACCAGCACAGTCTCTGGAATCCCTCTCTTTCGGGTGTTGATTCGATCCATTCATGTACGCCCGTCGCTGGAAGCCTGCCAAGAGTCGCTCGTTGTCCATGCCCTTTCGCACGGGCGATCACTCATCGCCTTCGTCAGCGCCAGGGATGTTACATTAACACTCCTAAAATAATTAATTGATATTTCTAAAATAATTTAAATTAATATAAACAAAATTAATTAATAGACATAAATTAAATTTAATTCATTAACACTTCTAAATTAAATTAAATTACATAATTGTTCAAAAACAATTTAACTTAACATAAACTAAATCAAATAAAATTAATTAACACTCCTAAAAATAATTAATTAACAGTTCTAAAATGATTTAATTTAATACAGACAAAATTGAACTAAATGAATTAACAAACATAAATTAAATTTAATTCATTAACACTCCTAAATTAAATTAAATTACTTAACAGTTCAAAAAAAATTAACTTAACATAAACTAAATCAAATGAAATTAATTAACACTCCTAAAAATAATTAATTAACAAACATAAATTTAATTTAATTCATTAACACTCCTGAATTAAATTTATTTAACATATTTACCAAAAAAATAAATTTATTTAACCTAACATAAACTAAATTAAATTAAATTAATTAACACTCCTACATTAAATTAAAAAAATTTGGTAAAAAAAATTAAATTAATTAACACACATAAATAAAATTAAATTAACAGTCCTAAATTAAATTATTTTAACATAAGTTATTTAAAACTAAAATACTCAAACCAATATTATTTTTCCTTAAATTATTTTATTTCTAAATACAAAATTCAATAATTAAAATTTTCCTATAATTTATTAGACCACAATGATGCAAGAAATGCGAAAGAAAGTGGTGAATTTATTAGACCAAAAATCATTGGACTGTTGGAATATTTACACATAATATGCTATGCAGCACAGCATGTATATGATATGCAGCACAACATGTATGGTCACGTGTCAGAAAAACTGACATTAACATGCTATGCAGCATAGCGAGTTTGACACATGTCAGACACATAACACGCCAAGTTGCCACGTAACATACTATGCAGCATAGTGAGTTTGACACGCCATCTGCCACATAATTTTGCTGCACTCTGCAGCGGCTTATGTGGCCATGAACCTGCTGCCATATGTCCACACCTAACTCGTCATGTGTTGTAGCGAGTTAGGTGACATGACATTTTGAAAAAATATTTTCGATCCATGGCATTCAGCTCATTTTTTTGTGAATAGTGTAGCATTTTGTTCGTTTTCCTAAATTGTCATCACTTGTCACCTCTCACTTGAAGAACACAAAATCTTTTCACAATCAAATAGTTTGAAATGTATGGATGTCAAGATTTTATCTGTGAACGTGTAGTTTGAATTGAATTTTTTTTCCTTTCTTTTTAGCATAGTCACATTTGTATTGTATGGATGTCAAGATTTTATCTTTGTGAACGTGTAGTTTGAAATTTTCATGTGGTAGGTATGTCGGGGTTCTTGAGTAAAATGCGGAATTTCAAGAATCTTTTTTGTATTGTCTCTTTCTTTTATTAAAAAAAAAAATTGGTTTTGATTGAAATGCGGAATTTCAAGATTCTTTTTAGTATTGTCTCTTTCATTTGTATTGTCTCTTTCTTTTATTAAAAAAAAAAATCTTTTTCGTTTTGATTGAAATTTTGGTTTTTTTTTTTTTTTAACTTTAAATTTGAAAATTAGGTTTAATGTGAATTCTGAATTAGGATAAAAAATGAATGAAGGATCCAGGGTAAGGAAAGTGGTTTTAGTTGGTAGGTGTTTCTTGTTTTCTTTTAGATATATTTTGCCCCCTTCCTCCCGTTGTTATTTCAAAACTAACTACATTGCTTATAAAACTTTTTGTGAGAAGAAGTGATTGTTTCTGCACCACATGTTTCATTTTATAAATTTAGGAAGCATCAAATTTACTAAAATGAATGGAATCTTAGATGTTCTATGAAAAATTATCATTATCAAAACTATCATGATAAATGGACAACAGAGAGAACAGATGCCAAATTCTCAAATGAATTCAGTTGTTCAACCTAAGCCCGTTCTTAAATCTAATATACTTGTATGCCTGATAGAGAATGTGAGTTCTGAAGCTACTACTGCCAAGCACAAGAGTTACCTGGGGGCTGGGGTAACTTTGGTGCATTAGGTTATGAATTCAAGCGTAAGATTGCAGGAGCCATAGGAGCCAATATATGAAGACAAACAAAGGGATAAGAGAGCCAATGGATTAATCAAAAGTTATTGTGAATGCTGTGTCAAGTTATGTAGAACCTGTTGTCCAAGTACCTGCTGAAGTTTCAGTTGAAGGGCCTGAAGGGAAATATAGGGATAACTTTGGTGAACAAAGTCATGATTTCAAGCATAAGATTGCAGAAGCCATAGGAGGTAAATACTTTGATAAGAAAACCAAAGGATTCATCAAAGCCTGTGTTCCATCAAATCACACAGAACCTATATTCGACGTACCTGCAGTAGCACCACCATCAGGGTCTGTGGCTTCTCAGATAAAGGTGCCAACACCTGTAAGGATCAAGTTTAGAGCGACAGCTTCAACATGTCTCAGCCCCAGAGACAAAAGTGTCAGAAGGCAAAAAAACATCATCAGATTCAAAATCCTACCATGGAAACAAATGTACAGCCACAATCAATCTCCGTGGAGTTGAATGGCCCTGCAGGTTCTAATATTAGGACACAAACTGATAACGTGAGTTATGATTCTACAGCAATAGCAATAGCACCACCAAAAGAGCCTAAAGCTGCAGAAAAGATGGATGTTCTCACCACTAAGTTTGGGTTAACTCAGTTGTCTCAGGTATTTCTCATCATTTGCTATTTTTCAATGAAACTATCAAACAATACAATGGTTGTTTCTTAAGAGATCTAGTTACAAATTTGATTATAAATTTTATTCAGGATTACTGTGACAGGCATGAATCTGCTTAACCTATCCATTTTGGCTAATTTAGATTTGTCAATTGAATGAACCAACTATTCTACTAGTGGTTGGTTTAACTTCATGACATGTGAATAATTGTTGATTGAGTAAACTTTTGAAACTGTTTTGTTTTGTTTTTTGGCATGTCTTGTCCTCCTTAAACGAGACAAACATTATAAAAATTTGAAATGAGCAGAAGAAAGAATTTGAAATGTTTTGTTTTTTGGCAATGTCTTTTTGTTAACCGTACGTAACTCAAAAACTTATGATTAGCAGCTTTTGGAGTTGTACATCTGCTTTCATGATCCATTGCACTAAAACTCTGTACACTTGTTTCAGGTAACTCTGTCTTACTTGTGGCGTGAGGGCTTTCAGGAGTTGTTGGATTTCGGCTCTCATAATGACCTTTGGATTCTGATCCTTGGGGTTCTGTTTCAGCATGTAGAAGATGTTGAATTTATGATTCAAAACTTGATTCCACAGCAGGTGCAGATGCGAATACCTGTGATCCCATAGGCCCTTTTGGTGGTGCTATTGCTATTGCTGCAGAATCAGGACTCACATCTTCAGTTAGGGTCTTAATATTAGAATCTGCTAGGGAATTCAACTTCACAGAGATTGAATGTGGCTTATCATCATTTGCTGCAGGTACTTGGAGTACAGGTTCTACATGATTTGAAGAAGCATTGACACCAAGCTTTGATGAATCCATTGGGTTTTTAATCGAAGTATTTGTTTTCAAGTATTTACCTCCCGTGGCTCCTGCAATCTTATGCTTGAAACCATGACTTTGTGCACCAAAGTTATCCCTTTTTTTCCCTTCAGCTAGAAAGGTGGTGCTTCATCAGGTACTTGGACTACAGGTTCTACATAACTTGACACAGCATTGACCTCAAGTTTTGATGAATCCATTGGCTTTTTTATCCCATTATTTGTCTTCATGTATTTACCTCCTGTGTCTCCTGCAATTTACGCTTGAGATTATGACCTTGTGCACCAAAGTTATCACTGGGTTTCCCAATATTTTTCTCCAGGTAATTCTTGTGCTTGGCAGCAGTAGCTTCAATACTCATTTCTACCAGGCTTCCATGTATTTCAGATTTAAGAACTGGCTTAGTTTGAACAACTAAATTCATCTGAGAATTTGGCATCTGTCTTCTCTGTTGTCCATTTGAAGTTTTTTCTCTCTTTGATTCCTCATGTAGTTTCAACAATCGTCAATGTCTCTTTCCATTCTTATGCTCTTTCATATTTTTGTGACTTCTCAACTTAACCTCACAAATTTCACACCAAATCGATGATGGTGGCTGTGGAATTGGGGCTATACTAGAAAAAGTTGGTCTAAAAGTTTGATGTGGTAAGTACCTACCACCAGGCTCCAGCAGCGCGGACATCCCCACCATAATGAGGAACTCAGTCATAGTGATTAAACCGGCTCATACTACTGTCTCTGAAATATGTATCTTTCCAGCAACTTCTACTCTTATTTTGAAACCTCCTACTCTGTAAATAAGCATTCAAACATGAAGCAGTGCATAAATTGATATCGAGCTACAAGATCAAGGGAAGTGTTAGAGAAAACAAACTGATATGGTTGCAACATTCAACTATGAGATTAAGGGAACTCACTGAATCATTTGAATAATCCAATGGCTCAAAACCAGACTAAATCGCTGAAACCAAATGAACTGTCAACCTAGTAATAGTTTTGAAAAGCACTCAGGTTCACTGTTGAAATATAATCACTATCACAAAATTAGAGTCCCCACAAAAATTCTGACATTTTCACATTCATTTACCAGTGTGTTCATTAATGTATCCTATAGTTACGATAATGATCATTTTTCATAGAAGACCCAAACTTCCATTCATTTTAGTAAATCCTATGCTTCGTAAATTTATAAAATGAAACATGTGGTGCAGAAACAATGACTTCTCACAAAAAGTTTTATAAGCAATGTCGTTAGTTAAGAAATGACCACAGAAGGCAGGGAAAAAAATATATGAAGATAACAACAAAGATCTACCACCTAAAACCACTTTCCTTATCCCTGGATTATTCATGCATTGTTTACCCTGATTCAGAATTCACGTTAAACCTTTGCCCAAAATCCCAATTTCATTTCAAAATATAAAAAGTTAAAAAAAAAAAAACAGCAAAACAACACAAAACAAAACAAAAATTCTACCAAAATAAGAAAGATTTGTTTTTTTTTTTTTAATAAAAGAAAGAGACAAACACTAAGATTCTTAAAATTCCCCATGCTCCCCGTGAACCCGACAAAACTACCACATGAAAATTCCAAACTACAAATTTACAAAGATAAAACCTTGGCATCCAGTTAAGAGTCTCACATTGATTGTGTACGCAATTGGTGTGAGATTTATAAGGCTTTGGCTACTCTCATCCTTTGCGCTAGCTTTTAAGGTGGTGATCCCATGGTCCCTATCATTTGGTGCTCTCGACGAGAGTCGGACCACAGAAGGGCCTACCTGATAGGTGGGTGCTGACGCTCTGGTGATGGTGATCTCATGCGTCCCTACAGTAAGGATGATAACAAAGTTGGAGAAAGACTGACAAACGCGAAAAGATTTTGTGTTCTTCTTTGAGAAGTAAGATAATATAACAGGGGATGAATGAAAACTAACCATTGAAGGGTGCAACAGTAAGGTGTTCTTCTCAAGCCATGGTGTCTGTTTGAAGGTTGCAGCAGTATGCTACAAAGATGGAGAAAGACTGATCACATCCACAGGGAATGAATGAAAACTAACCATCGTGTCTATTTGAAGGGTGCAACAGTAAGGTGTTCTTCTCAAACCATGGTGTCTGTTTGAAGGTTGCAACAGTAAGTATGCTACAAAGATGGAGAAAGACTGATCACATCCATACAATACAAATGAAGGGTGCAACAGTAATAAAACCTCTCATTCTTTGAGCTAACTTTGGATGTGGTGATCTCATGCGTCCCTCTCACATGCACATACAATACAAATGAAGGGTGCAACAATAAGAATCCTACCAAAGTTGGAGAAAGACTGACATAATATAACAGGGAATGAATGTAAAATGGCTTTGAACACGAAAATATTTTGTGATCTTCTTTGAGAAGTGAGATATAAAATCAAGTAGAGGTGACTCTTCTAAAAGGAAAAACTAACCACGGTGTCTGTTTGAAGGGTGCAACAGTAAGGATGCTAACAAAGTTTGAGAAAGACTGACATCCTTTGAGCTAGCTTTTGAGATGGTGATCTCATGTGTCCCTATCACATCCATACAATACAAATGATGGGTGCAACTATGTTGCACCGACAGTGACACGGGACACGAGATATGACACGATACGACACTCCGAAACATTAATTCTAAAAATATTAAATTTTGACACGTTAGGACACGTTTGTATATTATATAATATTTTTAATTTATGTAGTGTATATTATATTTAGTATTCAATAATTTAACAAAAAAAAGTTAAACTTATAATATGCATCAATTTTGCAAAGAAACATAATATATCTCAAATGTTTATATTAAACTCAATAAAATCATAATCGTAATCTAACGAATTTAATAGTTGGAACACAAAATGTAACACAACGTAGCCTTTGAACCTTTTTTGAGTCTTTACAACGAGTATTGGAGTGTCGGTGAGTGTCAGACAAGACACGTCATCATTTTTGAAGTGTTAGTGCTTCATAGGGATGCAACAATAAGAAAGACTCTCATCCTTTGAGCTAGCTTTTGAGATGGTGATCTCATGCGTCCCTATCACATCCATACAATATAGATGAAGGATTCAACAGTAAGGATGCTAACAAAGTTTGAGAAAAACTAACATAATATAATAGGCAATGATTGTAAGATGGCTTTGAACGCGAAAAGATTTGGTGTTCTTCTTTGAGAAGTGAGATGTAAAATCAAGTAGACGTGACACTTCTAAAAAGAAAAACTAACCATAGTTTCTGTTTGAGGGGTGCAACAGTAAGGATGCTAACAAAGTTGGTGAAAGACTGACGAACGCTGGTGTCTGTTTGAACGTGCAACAGTAAGGATGCTAACAAAGTTGGAGAAAGACTGACAAACGCGAAAATATTTTGTGTTCTTCTTTGAGAAGTGAGATGTAAAATCAAGTAGAGGTGACTCTTCTAAAAAGAAAAACTAACCATGGTGTCTGTTGGAAGGGTGCAACAGTAAAGACGCTACAAAGATGGAGAAAGACTGACATCCTTTGAGCTAGCTTTTGAGATGGTGATCTCATACGTCCCTATGATCACATCCGTACAATACAAATGAAGTGTGCAACAGTAAGAAAAACTCTCATTCTTTGAGCTAACTTTGGATGTGGTGATCTCATGCGTCCCTATCACATGCATACAATACAAATGAAGGGTGCAACAGTAAGAATGCTAACAAAGTTGGAGAAAGACTGACATAATATAACAGGGAATGAATGTAAAATGGCTTTGAATGCGAAAAGATTTTGTGTTCTTCTTTGAGAATTGAGGTGTAAAATCAAGTAGAGGTGACTCTTCTAAAAAGGAAAACTAACCATGGTGTCTGTTTGAAGGGTGCAACAGTAAGGATGCTAACAAAGTTTGAGAAAGACTGACATCCTTTGAACTAGCTTTTGAGATGGTGATCTCATGTGTCCCTATCACATCCATACAATACAAATGAGGGGTGGAACAGTAAGAAAAACTATCATTTTTTGAGCTAGCTTTTGAGATGGTGATCTCATGCGTCCCTATCACATCTATACAATACAAATAAAGGGTGCAACAGTGAGGATGCTAACAAAGTTAGAGAAAGATTGGCATAATATAACAGGGAATGAATGTAAAATGGCTTTGAACGCGAAAAGATTTTGTGTTCTTCTTTGAGAAGTGAGATGTAAAATCAAACAGAGGTGACTCTTCTAAAAAGAAAAACTAACCATGGTGTCTGTTTGAAGGGTGCACCAGTAAGGATGCTAATAATGTTGGAGAAAGACTGACATCCTTTGAGCTAGCTTTTGAGATGGTGATCTTATGCGTCCCTATCACATCTATACAATACAAATGATGGGTACAACTATGTTGCACGGACATTGACATTGGACACGAGATACGACACTCCGAAACGTTAAATATAAAAAATATTAAATTTCGACACGTTAGGACATGTTTGTATATTATATAATATTTTTAATTTATGTAGTGTATATTGTAACATCCCACATAATTTGGAAATATACATATATTGCTATGAGAAATATGATAGCGTGTGTTATAATCGAACTATATGATAATACATGGATTGTCTTCGAAAGTACATAGCTATTTTCCCTAGAGTGGAATTAATTTGAGGAATTATTTGAATTACGATTGGAGTGAGCATGTAATCAGACATCGAGACTCTTGTTTAATATATAGGAACAATTTAAATGTAACCTATAGAGAGCCTACTTATACCTAAGGGATGAGGGAGTTAGCAAATTAGTGGGCAAACTCATAACTTAGTAGAACCATTGGGTTTATATTTTGTACCCAATCCCCTTCAATGGTCGACGACCCATGAGCTGTTGTGGGACTTAATTTCAGCCCAAAAGTCCTTCCTTAAGTTATCCTTAGAAAATCTGCATGTTAGTTGCATTGACCAAGAATCAACTACATGTCATCCTTATACCTTGCTATGTGTAACACCCCGTATATATCCGGTAATGTTATCATAATATCGTATTAAGCTGCGCTTAATTAAAAATGCGGAATTACTTTTTCTTTTCAATTATGATGCCATTAACATTACCAACTTACTTAATAATCAATTAATAAAACATCGCCTGTATGTAATTGCAATAAAATAGCTAACTGAAATACCTCATAACATAGATAATATAAGTGTGGCTCTAGTCACGGAACTACAACAACGTAGACCGGACCATCTAACAGTTTATACAACTCCAAACTACAAGTACTAACAGAAAGTGTCATAGACAATCCCCATGCTCACTCAAATAAGGCAACATGCCCAACATCAGTCTCAACAACAACATATCATAAATAGCGGAAAACATAAACAGCATCCAAATCCAGTCATGCTAACATATAAGCAGAAACAACATAATTAGCTAAGCTCCGGCCTCCTGCCTCCTGCCTCCTGAGGCATCAGTACCCATACTACCTGATCCTGAAATAAGCATTCCTCAAACGTGGGGTAAGATCTCTAATCTAGAAATCTCAGTAAGTCAGTGAGTCCTCAAGGATCTTCCACCCCAAGCTCACTTACATGTGCAATATAAGTTCAAAAAGCAGTTTATCATTTATCATTTCTAAAACAATGCAATGCAGCAGATAATCATGCCATGTGTGTCAATACTAATCTACTGGCCAGAGACAGTGCAGGTATACGTCTATCACCTACACACCGTGCAAGTACCACTTGCATTCACCCCGGTACACCGTCTTGTATGGCGCTACATACTCAGGCTTCCCGTCAAGATGAAACAACACATGCATATTAAAAGCCATTACATGTAAAGTTCAATCAACATATCAAATATCCAAAAGCATGTACACAGCATG